GTAAGTAGTGATGTAACAGTAATTTATTTCATGAAATTATCAGTCATTTTCATTTATTCATCTCAATTGTTAATATAGATATCGATCGATATAGAGTACTTGAAGCAATCAAACCCTAGATGAAATCCTTATGCTTGTTACTATGGTAAGTTCATGATTACTATTTTAAAGATTCAAACGAATTCAAATCCATCGTCGAAGAATATTATCATGATACTAATTAGATTGAGACGAAATATGAGAAATCGGACATTACATGATATGTTGCGAAGCCATTACATTTAAATGAATACCGATTAGGAAACATTGATGTGTTTATCAAACATACCTTAAAGTTAAAGATTATTAAACTATAAATTACTATGGTATTACAATCGAAATTTATGAACGACTCACCTAAAGTGTCATCATGTTCGGTACATGTTTGATTAAAAAAAACACATAAAAAATGAGTAAACCTAGTCTTGTAAGCTTGGAGATTCATAAGAGCATTTATTGATAGATGAGTGATATTAGTTCCTATCATCAGAATCGATTATTCAGTAATATAACCTAGTAGTTAATTGGTAGGAAAATAATCTCTAAGTGCTTTTTTAATATGATTTAATAGTAATTTTACATAATGCCTGACTAATGGTCAAGAGGTTAAGCGGTCACGCTTGAGACTGATAAGTCTTGGGTTCGAGTCTCACAGGACGTGATCGTAGATGCGCACTGTTAAGGAGTCCCATACTAGGACAAAATGACCATCCATTGCTTTCAAGTACTTCATAGTGGTCTAGCTTTAATTCACTAATGAATTCAACTATTGAAATTACTAAAATCTCCACAAAACCCCTTGTGATAATTTTACAAAACTCATATGTAATAGATGAACAACTTCTAATAACAGTTAAAGTAGACTGATGCCCATTTTACTTGACTTACTTATTCGTTGCTGTGTGTTTAAAATTTTTAATGGATATTTTGTGCACTCCATAACCGAAGCTATGTAGTCGATGCTCAAAAGAGTTTCTGAGACTTTATCATGGATCCAGAGATCGACCAGTATGTAGCCATATGAATGATTTTCTCTACTGTATTCATTAAGATTTTAGAACCTGTGAACCTCTTTCTAATCTTGACAAGTTTTTGAACCACGTCTAAGATGTGTATCCACTTTATTTTCTTGGTTTTGTATAATATATTTTTACTCTGTACTGACTGTTTGCTGATTGGCTAATGTTTCTCATGGTCACTTAAGATTCGTTCAAAGGTCGTCTAAAAATTAGAGTCTCGCCGAGATAATCAATCGATCGTCAAATGGAAACTTCGAATACCAAAACAGATAACTTATCTATAAATTTTATTAAGTATAAAATGAGATTTAGTCTAAGGAAATGATAAAAATTCAAGAGAGAGCATGGTGAAATGAATGTTGTTTCATACATATGATTATGCATATGAAAATCTCATTTGTTAGATCTACTGCACTAAACGAGAACACAAGTGGGAACAATCAAAGTACAAAATATCTTAGACACTATCAGCATTGGATGCCGGCTCAGTGGGCCAGTAGGTTAAGCATTCACGCGCGAGATTGAAGGCCCTGGGTTCGAATCCGGAGAGTGGGATCGTGGATGCGCACTACTGAGGAGTCCCAAAATAGGACGAAACGGTCGTCCAGTGCTTCCAGGTTTCCAATGGTGGTCTAACACCAATCGGTTCATGATCTCAATCAAAAATATCATAGTAAAACCTGAAAATCATATAGTAAATGCTTCATTTGCAGAATGCAAATCAATTATTTTAGACTTGATTGTTCCTTCACTTTCATATCAATCATTCTCTATTCTCGTTCTCTTCTCTTCAATCTTCTTATAGTTTCTAGCGCTAGATATTTCACTTTCGACTAATAATACATACTACTTATATAGATCAACATCAGTAACATACATCATACTACTACTGATTCAATGTATATTGTTGCTTGTCTCAGTACTGACGAACACATTCAATTGTTACTATGGGACTAGACTTAAAATGTATTCAGATACTCTATTATTGTTTGGCTATTAAAAGTAGAAAACTTTGAATGACATTATGAACAAACAGATGGAAAAAAAGAAAACTTCTAGAATATAAAAGGCTGGATGTGTTTTGTAGCAAAACAAATGATGCATCTCTAAATGCCTTAAAGGCAAAATCAATACTCTTACCTAGATACTTCTTAATGTTCTCCAGTTAACTTTTAAGTGAAGGGATTAGTGTACTCTTTTTTTATAAAAAAAAAAACTATCAGCACCGAAGGAAATTAAGAAGAGTTAATAGAAGATTTCTCTTATACATGTAATAAGGGGTGTAAACACGCATAACCGATAGTTGAATAATGTCTTTCTCAATATACGGGTTGTGGAGAGTATTAGGTTTTCGATTGCAATCATGAATAGATTGATGTTAGACCACAATGAAAAATCTTAAAGCACTGGACCTCCTATTGTAGGACTTCTCGGCACTGCACATCCACGATCCCGCTCGCGGCATTCGAATCCAGGGACTTCGGTCTCGCGCGCAAACGCTTGACTTCTAAACTATTGTGTCGACATTCAGTGGTGTCAATGTCTAGCCTCAATAAATCCATGAAATTTCGCGACCAACTTATATTGTACTGAGGTAGATACCTGTCTCTACTCGACACGGATTAGCTTCACTGGTCACAGCCTCATATTAGAACTCCGAGAATTCCATCACGAAGCTAGTTGTTGTTGAGCAAGCGGGATCATAAATGCGCACTGGTGAGGAGACACGAAATAGGACGAAACAGCCGTACAATGCCTCCAAGTTTTCAGTCGTGGTCTAACATCAATCTGCTCATGATCTCAATCGAAAACATAATGTCTTTCACAAAATGCTTACTGAACAATTTCAAACTACTAAGAAGTAGTCAATGTCACAGACGTGTAATGGTCTTCGTTTCACTGAAGAATAACGAGGAAGTCGTTTGGTGTTGATACTTTAAATCTCGAGTCTGTAATAAACTAAGTAATATCAAAATAAACTGGTTGTACTTACGCCTGTCACTCTTTGTGGAGAAGCATAGGCCGCCTACCAGTACTCTCCATACAACCTTAATAGGTTTCAGTAAAACCATATACTATTAATCTGTACAAAAATCGAGGAATTTTGAAATGTCAACAGATATATCAATAAAAATCAAACTTCAATCTGTAAGCAAAATCGAAAACACATTGACTAACTAATCAGTTATGCTTGTCATCGTGAATTACATTGAAAAAGAAAGACAAATCAGGAGTTTATACTATGAAAAATGAAATGGAATATCTCAACTAAATGATCAATATCTCATACATACGAACAGATTCAGATGAAGAAAACCACTGTATCAGCAGCCTCTGCATCAGTAGGCCTCAATATAAACAAAGGAAAAACCAATATCCTCAAATACAACACACGGAACACCAACCCAATCAAACTTGATGGACAAGCTCTGGAAAATGTGGAATCATTCATGTAACTGGGAAGTATCAACGATGAACAAGGAGGATAGGATGCAGACGTAACGGAGAGGATTGGCAAAATATATGGGATTCAAAACAACTATCAACCAATATCAAAGTCACAATCTTCTATACGAACGTCAAGACAGCTAGTTCTATAGTACGGAGATGAAACTTGCACAACTACTACAACCATCATCAAGAAGATACAAGTATTTATAAATAATTGTCTATGCAAGATACTCAACATCCATTGACCGGATACCATCAGTAACAGCCTACTGTGGCAGAGAACAAACCAGCTTCCAACTGCAAAGAAAATTAAGAAAAGAGGATGGAAACTTGTGGGACAAATATTACTCAAATCATCAAACCGCATCATGAGGCAAGCTGTAATACGGAATGTAGAAGGGAAGAGGAAAAGTGGAAGATCAAAGAACACATTACATCGGGAATCGGAAGCAGACATGAAAAGGATGAATAATAACTGAAAATAGCTAAAAAGTATTGCCCAGGACAGGGTTGGATAGAGAATGATGGTGGAAAGCCTATGCTCCTTCATGAGGATTAACAGGTATAAATAAACAAAGACAAAAATTGAAATTATACTTGTTTTTATAAAAAAGCCAGGCGAGACTCTAATTTATGAATGAGCCAATCAGAGGCGTTTGAAGGATTTCAAGGTTACGGCGCCAAATTCAGTGCTTAATGCTAATGTACGATTGGTTCACAAGCAATTTTTTACAAAACGTGATAATTGCTTGGTTATAACAAATAAAACGGCGAGACTATAATTTGTGGACGAATCAGTCAGATATAAGATAACAGATCTCGGATTTTAACGCGAAAGCCTTACATTCATTTGACTAAATAGATTTCTGGCATTATAGCTAATGTCAGTTCGTGATGAAAACCCCATATATAATTGCTAACTGAGGCAAATTATGACAAATATTGCGAACTGGATAATAAAAGCACCAGAACACTGGCTGCAGTCCGGTACTACAGTATATACGGATGATTGGAGAACCTACATCCTCATACATAGGCTTGGTTATGTGCATCGTGTCGTTATCCACAAGTGGTATTTTCTGAACCCGACAACCGGAGTGCACACAAACAATACTGAAGCTATGTGTTCGATGCTGAAATAGTTTTTGAGACTTTATCATGACTCCAGAGGCCGACTATTCTGTAGCCGTATAGATGATTTCCTCTACTGCATGCATTACGATTTAAGAACCTGTGAACCTCTTTCTAACTTTGAGAAGTTTTTGAACCACGTCTAAGAAATGTATCCACTTTATTTCCTTGGTTTTGTATAACATATTTTTACTGTATGCTTACTGTTTGCTGATTGACTAATGTTTCTCAAGGTTACTAAAGATTTGTTCAAAGGTCGTCCATAAATTAGGGTGTCGCCAAAGGCCCCTCCCTAATCAGCTTATTATGTTTCCATGTCGAATATTATTAAGTACCCAATAATATAGAATAAAAGAATTCTTCAATGGATAAAAACATCAAAATTTAAAAAAGAAATTATCAACCCTATCACAACAACAATAATAATAGTAGTAGTATAGATAATACAATGAAAGCAATAAAAACATAATTTGCACCTATATATAGTTTGACGCTATTGTTTCAACCAGTTCCTCCTTCTTGTTGTTGTTGTCGTCGTCGTTGTTGTTGTTGTTATAGACTATTCATTGAATTGTCAGGTCTATTATGATGTAAACAAGTTGTATTGGATATAATCACCTGAACTGTAATTGAAACTGAAAGAGAAAAGAAAAGAATACAACGTTATAATAGTCTATTATATGAACCTTTTTAATATTGATCATTATTGAACTAGTACACTATGTATTACTTGAAATATCGAGTTATCAGTGTCTATAGTTGTTATAATCTCTTTCTTACGGTTATGACCCAGCTATTCCTATTGTTTAGTATTCTCGGACACCGATTCACTTGACAAGTCCCCAAATCAAAACACGGTTGAACAGGAAAACCGATTGTATTCCAAATAACAAGGTTAGATGGAAGTAAGATGCACAATAGGGAAAACGTCAGTAGATTTATAGTTTTTACATGAGAAGATTCTAGAGTATTCTTCAACTATCGACTAGTGCTGATTGGATAAGAATTAGCCAATCAGCGTGCACCAAAGCAATCGTTCACTGAGCATGCTTTAATCCAGTCTATGTCCCTCTAACAATAGTTTTATCAATCATTGCTATATAATTGAAGAGAATTGTCTGATAACTCATGATTATGAAATATACTCACTGTATCCAACTAATACGTTTCCTATAGTTATTTCATAGATAATACATACTTTTTAATCACTAGGTGTATATATATGTATTGGGTTCAAATCTTGCGAGGTGGGATCGTGATTGTGCACTGGTGAGGAGTCTCAATACTAAGGACGAAACAACTGTTCAGTGCTCACAGGTTTTCCATGATGGTCTACCTTTTAACTGACTCATAAATTGTTTTATTTCTTTCAATATATCAAAGCATAATTGGAGTAAAGAATGAAATTATAACTGATTGCAAGCTGGAAATATGGATAAATATTTTGTACAAAAATGCAAATTTTGAAATCTTTCACTTTTGAAGTATTTAAGTCTTCGTTATTTGATATCTTCAATTCAGTAGATAAGATCCTTACTGTTTCATTGATTTTAACACTTGAATTAACTTGGTCGAAGAAGAAGTTATTGAATAAACATCAACTTTTTGGTTGATTGAATCAAATCTACTAGTTAGATTAATTTACTAAATGGTGTCTATTACATCAGAGTAAAACAATTTGGGTTAATGTCATATTCTTAGTTTTGTCCCTCTACAACACAAAAGGAACCTTATTAAGATACTGCATCATAGAATCAAGATTATATACTCTGTGGATACGATTGATAGTTGAATCAAAGTCATTATACATAACCTTGAAGGAAAATCGATATCACGAGAAATTTATAAATAAAAATATAACCAATAAAAGACAGCATAGAGAATGCCCAACTGTAAATAAAAACCTTACAATTTAGAGGCGATGCACCGAGTGAAATGCTAAGACTTAAGTTAAGCAGATCAATTCAAAGGACTTTTAGTGCGAGTAAACTACAACTAATATTCTCCACACGACCAATAATCACTCCGAGGTTGAAAGAAAAAATACTTAGACTAGCCACCTTCTTCTGTATCTATCAATTCAACTGATCCTGTGGAGCAAGTTATATTGACAGATGTTGTAGGAACTTGTACATTCGGGCTCGTGAGCATCTCTCCATGTGGTTAAGCAATAGTGTAGTCAAAACTGTTAACAGCTCCATCTTAGATCATTTAGTTCAAACAGGACATACAGCCAACATGGAGCAATCTTTTGCAATAATCTATCGTCTTAATATTTCAAATAAGTAGTATATTCCTTTTCCTAATTTGATTAAGATTATGAATCGATTGATGTTAGACCATTATTGAAAACTTGGAAGCATTGAACTGTTGTTTCGTTCTAGTATGGGACTACTTAGCATTGTGTATCCGCAATGTTGAAGAGTTCCATAATAAGGCCGAAAATTACATGGTTTTCAAGAAAGGACAAATTCTACACTATTGTAAGCTGAAATGATTGACTAGTTAGCATAAATAATATTCAAAATAAAGATTACGAATCAGTATATAAGCAAATAGATTTATTTATTTAGTAGTAACCAAGGTATTTAGTTTTACAATCGACAACTATTTCACTTGTTTTAATGTATACTGGCAGTAACTACGTGCCTAATCTAATTGAGACAAAGTATTACTCATTAACAAATTTTCAATTAGTCTCTAATTGATCATGTCAAGTGATCGAATGTATTTGCATAATACTCATTTCATTAAGTTGAATTCATGAGTCAATTGATGTTAGACAGCCATGGAAAACCTGAAAGCACTGAACAGCTGTTTGGTTCTACTGTGGGACTCCTCAGCAGTGAGCATCCACGATACCGCCTAGAGAGATTCTAACTCGGGACTTATCAATCTCGTGCACGAGTGCTTAACCACTGGGCCACTGAAATGGCCCATGTGTACTCGGTTCTCCTTTGTATCAATATTTATGGGTTCAAACAACAATAAGAATCAAACCTTTACAAATCGACCGAAATAGATAGTAATATCAATAGTTGAAATTATGAGTCAATTGAAACTAGACCACTATGGAAAACTTGGAAGCACTGGACGGTCGTTTTGCCCTCGTGTGGAACTCCTCAGCAGTGAGCATCCACGATCCCGCCTCGCGGGCTTAATTTCCTTCATTAATTTTAGCAATTTTTAAAAAAATGATCTGCCTCCATTAAATATTAGTTAGTACAGCTACTACAATCACTGTAGTGAATGAAAACTTAGATACGGTAAACTGATTAAATTTTTTGATAAATTATACAATGTCTTAGTAAAAGGTGAAAATCGTACATTCAATTCATCATTTGAGTATCTTTCTTGATTCATCTTATACATACTCCATCATTCTTCCAATCTTGTTATTTTAACGACGGCTCTCCGTGTTTTTCTCCCTTTACTATTTATTTCAAGCTTCACCCAGTAAGCATTTCACTTACAATTCTTACCATATACTACTTATATCTATCCTTATAAGTAGAGCACACCACACTACTGCTACTACTGCTAATACTTAGACTAATAATTATCGCACTTCCACTTCTTCTTCTACTACCACTACAACTACTACTAGTTCTACTTCTACTGCACTTATGACCATAACTTCTACCACGATAATATTTGACTTTCATAAAAACTTTAAAATTGTTTCATCATTAACAATGAATATCTTAAAGACTGTTTCAAATAAATTGGAAATGTTATTAAAGGATGAATATGGTTAATTAGGGGCTCGTTGGACAATGCTGGGAGGCTGCCTCCTCCACGAGGGGTAACAGGCGTAAGTAAGTAAGTAATTAAATAGTAACTATTTCTGAATATCTAATTATTATCATGACAGTGTCTTATAATACTGTATTATATAAAGTCTATTATCTAGGTTTTATTCAATATTCGTTCAACTACATTTGAATTATTCTGTATCTGGGAATAACATCTCATAATTTCCTTTTGATAAGGTATAAGCTTTAAAGTATTCATTCATATGATTCAAAAGTTAGTCATGAGTAATTCGATAAGATACTTTACTGTTCATTCCAAGCACATTAATAAATAGACTGAAGTCAATTCAATGCATATTCGAAATGCAAACTATAGATTAACTTCCACTTAATTTCCTCCAAGCTTAGCTGTTATTTGCCAAGACAGATAGTGGCTTGCATTGAAATACAAGATGTGAGACACTATGTCCTATTTAGGACTCGTCAACTGGATGCACCTGCATCTTAGAGTTGGCGTTCACTACGGGACTGAAACTCAGTACCATTCGCTTCAAACGCCATCGCGTATATCACTTACCTACTGAGCCCTGATAACTACTTGCTTGTGCAATGCAGTGAAATTTAAATTCAATTGATGTTGTTTACTTGTTTCTGCCCACTGATGTTTGGGACTGCTTTGATATAGCCTCAATTTACAAGCATTATATGCAAAGATGGATAACAGCTTGTGAATGAAGACTATTTCGAGGCAATACGCACAGTATGCACATATGCCAGTAAGTGACTGATCATTCTCAGTCCTAATCATCAATGAAAGATTCAAACAAACAATATCAAGCGAATTTAGCTGTTATTTATTTACATTTCATTAATAACTTACGTAACTCACTTATCAGATGTTTGTAGACCTTTATGATTTTAAATATCCTGTATGAATTGTTATGATTTTAAAAATTTAATTTATAAGTCAATCTAAGCTGGATCACTATTGAAAACCTGAAAGCACCGAACGGTTATTTCGTCCCAGTATAAGACTCCTCAACAGTGTGCATACACGATCCTTCGAACTCAAGACTTTCAATCGTGCATGCTAATCCTTAATATCTAGACCATCGATTCGACATCTAACAATGTTAGTGTCTAGCTTCAATCGATCCATGATCTTGTGCAATCCTTCTCTCATTGTCTGAGGTAGATAACTATCTCGGACTCAACAAGGATTGAACTCTATCGTTTAAAGCTTCTTAATTCTTATTACCACATTCCTAATGTACTTGATATCATCATAATAAATTAATAAATAAAGAACTATTTCCGTTATCAACCAATTTTCCTACAATCAATTATCAAGGATCATATTACTGATTAGTTTTCAACATTAAAATTTAACAATGATTTAATGTAGATTATAGTAGGTAGGAGAGACGTTGGAAGTGGATAGGATATACATTACAGAAATTACCATACTGCATGATGAGTCAAGGCCTAACTTAGAATCCTGAAGGGAAGCGAAATAGACGAAGGCTAAAGAACGCATTACGTCGGGAAATAGAATCAGACATGAAAAGGATGAATAACAACTGAAAAGAGCTAGAAAGTAGTGTTCAGGACAGAGTTGGATAGAGAGTGCTGATTAGTGGCCTATACTCCTCCACAAGGAGTAACAAGCATAAGTAAAAGGTAAACTTAATCATTAAACTTACCAAAAAACAGATTACACTGGGAAAAGATTCATTTTGAAATGGTTGGTGTTTTCTTCTATTAAACATACTTCTCTTGTTGAATCGATTGTATTATTGGTGTAGTATTGTTACTAGGTGACAATTTAACTATATGATGTAATTCTTGTAGATTTTCATGAACAATATTATTAGTAACAGGTTTTTCATATGATGTTATAGGTAAATATGTATCAGAGGTTATAATGATTCCTGTTCCACTATCTACACCACTATCACTACCACATATACTATTATTATATTGATTATTGATATTTGTTAAATGAGTAGATATAATATCATTGTTTAATAGTTGTATATCTTTACTGTATAATTCTATTCTATCATTCAATGAATCCATATGTATGATATTTAGCATTTGTTCATTAGAATGTTTCATGATCAATGAAGTTTCTTGATATGGATTATATCCATTTATTGTTGTTGTTGTTGTTGTTGTTGACATCCATTCATTTCTATTAGGATATGTCACAGTTGGTTCATTCACATGATAAGGATATACATGTATTGATAATTGATCATTATAATAAGGTTGTATATAAGATGGTAATTTCTCATCTCTATTAATTATGAATGTCTCTCGTACCAATGTTTCATCATATAATCCTCTTGATGTAGAATATTCTTCAGGTATATTCCATTTTATTTGTGATGATGGTAATATATCTGAAGGTATATATATTGTCTGATTCAAGTTCATTAAAGCTTTCTCATAGTTTATATTATTGATAGAAGATATATTGACTAAACGATGTGTTTCTGGGGTAATGATTATTCTTGACTTATATTCTTTATAAGAATGATTTGATATAGATCTTAATAATTGATTATTTGATTTTAAACGTACCCATATTATAGTAGCTATTAAACTAATCATTAATACTAAAATACATATCATAATTAAAATCAATATAATTTTATTACTTATATAAGGATCATATAATGAATCTTTCATAGATTCACTAATATTAACATAAAAGATCACTTCAGTAGTATGTTGTGGTATTCCTTTATCTTGTAAATTAATCGATATTACATATAAACCTGGTTTAGGTAATTGATTGTGATTGATTGATTGATTATTGATTAATAATGATGATTGATTTTTTATTTGTTGATTATGATCATTATGATTATGATTATTCCATAATGTTGTTAATTCACCTGTTTGTTCATTAATAGTAAAATAAAAAAATCCTTCATGAATATCTAAGTAATTTCTATTGTGATCTATTGGATAGTTTTAAGTTTCCTTCATTCATCTTCAAATGACTTCTAGGATTATTTATCATGTTCTGATTATTGAATTGAAGATCTTGTTTTGTTATTTGTTGTTTTAAATAAGAGATTTTACTTGGTACTATAGAATAAATGATAGTGCCATTTTCACCAGCATCTGGATCTTTCCCATGTATCGTAGTGATTAATGTACCATATGGAATATTCATTGGTATGGTTGATATAGATTGTCTATTATCATATATACCAAATAAAAGACTACCATTTATTGGATATAATAATTCTGGTGAATTATCATTTATATCATCAATGAAACATGTTAAAGTAATGGTACATGTATGACGTATGAATTGACCATGATCATAAGCGATCAATTTTAACATAAATTGAGTTTGAGTTTCACGATCCAGTAAACCAGATACAAATAATCTTGACTGATTATCAATGGATAGAATAGAATGACTATTTATTTCATGATCATAGATACTACTGAATTCATTAGATAGTTTAGGTAAATAAGAATAAGATTGATAATCAATTAATTGGATACTAATTGTTGAATTCTCTCCTAAATCTGGATCAATAAAATGGAATTGATTCAATATAATTGTACCTTTTGATAAATTCTCTTCAATATGTATTTCTAATGGACCAATATATTGAGGTGAATTATCATTAATATCAAGTAAATGAATTTTTACACTTGTTGTATTTGTTTTCATTGTTGATTTGAAATATTCTGTTCTATTATGATTCATGTTGCTACGACCACCACCACCATCACCACCATCACCACCATCACCATCACCACCACCATCAATTCCTGCATTATCTGATACAGTAACAAAAACATGAAGAATATTAATCAATTCTCTATCTAATAAATTATTTGTAGTTATTATTCCATTTATAGGATCAATTTTAATTAAATTAAGTAATTGTAAATTATCTGATCTTAATTCATATTTTAATTGACCATAGATACCAGAATCTATATCCATAGCAACAATTTGTCCAATTATTGTATGATTAGGTACATTTTCATAAATATGAAATTCATAATTTAATTGATTAAATTGTGGCCAATTATCATTTAAATCTTCTAATGTTATATTAAACCATTTATTAATAATGATTGATGGTTCAGCTAAATCTTTACATTGTATACCAACTAAAATTTGTCCTGTACTATTTGTATCTAATTCATAATCAAATTCATGTTGATTTAATAAACCATAAACAGAATTAGAATAATGAATTAAATGAAAATCAGTAAGATTTTCTTCTTGATGAATGAGTTCACAATGTATTTTATTCATGGAACAATCATCTTTATCTTTAATAGTGATTAATCGTAATAATTGTGGAGTTGGATCATTTTCATAAAATAATCGATAATCATTTATATTCTCTACATATTGATTAGTACTACTATTATGATTGTTGATTTCAGTAGTTTGTATAGATACTATATCAATTTCTGGTTCATTATCATTTATATCAATTAAATGAATTGTATAACTTATAGTTGATGTTAATTTTGGTATACCATTATCAATAGCTTTGATTAATAAGATCATTTGACGTTCATATTGATTTTCATAATCTAATAAATTAGAAATCAATAATTCACCATTCAATGGATTTAATGTATATTTGATTGAATTGATTGAATAATTGATTGATTTAAATGATTATATATTGATTTCCAATCAATCCAATAAGTTACATTACTATTTTCACCTTCATCTAAATCTTCAGTATATAAATGTAAGATCTTGGTACCGATTGTACAGTTCTCCATAATATAGATATTATGATTATCCTTATGAGGAATAGGAGTTATTGTGCCTGTTGTATTATTGATAAATATTGGTGGATTATCATTAATATCAGTAATTTTAATCAATAATATCATAATCGATTGTAATGATGGTTGACCATAATCTTCAACAATTAATTGATAATAATAAATCGATTTCATTTCACGATCTAATATATAATTCACTTGTAATTGAGGTGATTCTTCATTAGATTTATTTGGATGAATTAAACTAAATGGTGATTCTAAATTGAAATGATTAATCATGACATTATTGATTGATTGATTATTGATTAATTGTAATCGATATTGTTTAATACCATAACGTGGAGAATCTCTATCTATAGCCATAGGTAATGTATAACAATTACCAATTGAAGCAGATTCTGGTATCATCAATTCATAAACATCAATTGAAGTTTCATTGTTGTTGTTGTCGTCGTCGCTATCGTTGTCATCGTCTTCGTTGTCGTTGTTGTCGTTATTCCTTGTATTAGATTTAGGAAATAATGGTCTATTATCATTTTCATCTATAATAATAATCATAATTTGAATTTTCATTGGTTTCGTTATCATTTTAAATAAATATGCTTCAATATTCATTTGACAATAATCTAATAAACAACAATTCAATTGATAACAAATGAAATCACGATCAATTTCTTGACGTGTATATAAATCACCTTGTATAGTTAATTGAAAATATGTATCTGGAATTAGCATAGAACGAATAAATATGTTGCCATGTTGTTGTTGTGTGGTGGTGGTGGTGGTCGTTGTTGTTCTTGGTGGTGGTGGTGTTGGTTGTGATCATGGGGATATTTCTGTTTAGTATCATTTGTCATAAAAATATTTCCAATTAAAAAATTCACCGGTGTATTATCATTTAAATGGAATTCAATTTGATATCCTAAAAATGATTCATTATTATTATTATATACATTATAAGTAGTATTAACAGTAGTATTGTTAGTATAATCGATATTTATTGATTTTACAACATAATTCATTTGAAATTGAATCAATATTAAATTGATTAAATAAATAATACGATATAATTTTAATATATTATTGAAATTAATATTCATATTATAGTTGCTAGGTCAATAGACAATCAATTATTTGATGTTTAATAGGGTTACTAACTAACATTTGTGTTTGTTTTTTTTTCAAATATTTTCATTTGAATGTTCTAACAAATTAGAACAATTTGATTTTACAAAACTGATGAAACCAACTAAAGACGAAATGAAAACTTTTATGTTTCTAAGTAGAGAATAAATCATTTTATGTTCCATATGAATAGTTACTATCCAAATGTGCTTTTTTTAAAAAAAAAATTTTCTAACAAACTATAACAATGAGATCTAACAAAACTGATGAAGTAAACTAAAGACGAAATGAAAACCTTTTAAGTTTCATTTAAAAACAAGAACAAGAACAAGAACAAATCCGCACAGCTTCATTCTCATTTCAACGAATAAACTATTGAGTACAGATAGTATAGCATAATAATAATGATGATTAACTTATTAGGTCTTGTTCGATAGACATATCGAAATGAACATACATTAATGGTATGTTACATGTGAACTAAAGTAATAGAGATCAATAAATGTTTATGGATAAATTCAATCTTATCTTATTCTTTCTCCCTTAGTTTTATTCTCTATCCATATATAAATAGATAGATAGATAGGTACATAGAAACTTTTTCTTCCTCCTTCACCTCCTCCCCTTATACGACTTCTCTCTTAACTTTGTTTTAGTTAAGAACTATATATAGAGAGAGTACATGAATTAACAACTAATCATCAGCATAGAAAAATACATCATTTAAACGTTTACTTTATTCTAACTGGACAAAATAATCTAATGTGGAGTATAATACTACTTACCTGTAGATTATCATTGACCAGTCAGAAGAAAGTGAAGTAAATATTAGGGATATGAGTAAAAGAAAATTGATTAACAAATAGACAGTAGTCGTTGTTGTTGTTGTTGTCTTTGAATGAATAAAATATCATGTATGTTATAAGTAAAGATGGATACTCGATACTGCGTTCTATTTAGGACTCGTCAATTGGATGTACTTGCATCTTAGAGTTGATGTTCACTTTGAGATTTCAGGCAATTCGCACAAGATACACATATGTTAACAAAAGACAGTCCTAAACAATAATAGGAAGATACGAGCAAATAATATCAAGTGAATTTAAACTTCACCCCATTACATAAGCAAGTGACTATCACGACTCAGTAGGTAAGTGGATAACGCGATGGTGTCTGAAGCATACGGTACTAGATTTGAGTTCCGGAGTGAATATGAACTCTAAGATGCTGGTATATTCAGCTGACGAGTCTCAAATAGGACGAAGTGACGCCCATCCTAGATTCCACTGCTAGACATTATTCATCTTTGTTTATAAAAGCTTGTGATTTAAGGCAATATCGAGGCATTCCTAAACAACAATGAGAAGATACAATTAAACAATACCAAATGAAGTATCATCATTGTTATATTATTTATATTCTTTATTTTTAAGTATATTTATCTAAGGTCTGTGGAATCGTGTATGCGTACTACTGAGGAGTCTCATAATAAGATGGGGGGGTCATCATGAACTGACATCAGCTATAATGCTAAGACTCTATTTAGCTAAATGTATGTTTGAATTTCGCGCCAAAATGTGAGACTTGTGATCTTACACGTGATTGGTTCGTCCATAAATTATAGTTTCGCTCTAATTGGATTATTTAATCCATAGGTATCTAGTTAAATTGCAAACTTATTACTGAAATCAAATGATCTGATCTAGTTATTCGAAGTCAAGATCTGAAATTATATAAAACAATTAATGATCTGTAACTAGTATAGATCATATTAGCTTTATTTATGTAGGGAAATATCCTTTGGATAATCTTAATTATAAATGTGTGTAATATTGACTGTCATTTGATTGTGGAATAAAATGCTGAATTATATTTTATAGCAACTATCCTAGTAACAATTCGCATATTTCTTTATGCTGTTATGATCAAGTAGAGTACATGACAGAATCTAGCTAAAATGTTGATTGCTTAAATATCACTCAATGATTCATGCTGTTCCCCATTTATATATGTAATCAAATCAGTGAGACTATAATTTATGGACGAACCAATAGGGTATAAGATAACAGGTTCCATATTTTGGCGTGAAATTCATCCATCCATTTGGATAAATAGAGTTTAAGGCATTATAATTGATGTCAGTTCATGATGAAAATCCCCCGAAATTTAATTCCTAAGCTTAATCATCAATTGTAAATTATAATTATAATTCCTCACACAGTTTTATAATCCCCACTTAGTCCTGGTTATTAAGTGAACACCCTCAAGTTCAGTTCAGAGTCACTCAAAGATCCTCCATAAATTATAGTCTCACCCTCAAATCCTATCATTAACCTTTGCTTTGCCTTGCAGCGTGCTTATACAATTTGACTATAAAGTTGCCTATGTAATTGCTCGTATACATTCATTCGACTTAATTAAGCTCGATATGCTTATAGCTTTATGATCTGAGCTATCCGCTAATGAACTGTAGTTGACGCTTCTCTATGCTTTCTGATTTCAAAACACCGTTGAGATTGATATAATAACGGTTGTCGAGGTGATCGATTGACAAACAAAAGCTACTACAATATCATTTCATACTTATTACTAATGGAGTTCAACCAGGTCTGTTGTGAGATAGGAACTCACTGAAGACAATGGTGTACGGTGGCTCAACTTCGTGGATTGGTTGAAGCTAGACATTAACACCGTTGGATTCCGGCCGGCTCAGTGGTCTAGTTGGTGAAGCGCCTCGCGCGGGACTGATAGGTTCTGGGTTGGAATCTCGCGGGGTGAGCGATCGTTGATGAGCACTGATGAGGAGTCCCATAATAGGACGAAACGGCCGTCCAGTGTTTCCAAGTTTTCCATGATGGTCTAGCTTCAATTGACTCGTGATTTCAATCTGTGAAACTTAGTAAAGTAGTTTGAATTTTTAGTCACCTTTATCAATGAAGCATAAAATGGAAATGTGTAATGATGAAATATAGACATCATATGATCATATGAAGGAAATGAAGTTGAGAAATTTCCTTTTTCAGATTATACAGTTTAACATTCATATTTCATATTACAACTAACCGAATTGATTGTGTCTATATTAACTTTATAGAACACATTGATTTTTTTACACTTTTACATTATTCAATGAAAACTGAGAAGATGATTGGATGGAATATCTTCGACTCTTTTTGACCTTCTTAAGGCTTCTTCAAGTTCACTCGTAGACTGTCCTCATATTTAGCTTACATGAATTTCAAAGAAACAGTAAGGTCTTGTACAGTGATTTCCAAAATTTGTAGTTACCTAAATACAAAAAAAGACTTCCGACCCGTTGATCGGACACTATTAGCAACAACCTACTGTGGGAGAAAACAAACCAGATTCCAGCGAAGGAAGAAATCAGGAAGAAGCGCTGGAATTGAATAGGACACACATTGAGAAAAGCACATAAATGCGTCACAAGACAAGACCTCACATAGAATCTTTAAGGTTAAAGGAAAAGAGGAAGACCAAAGAACACATTACGCCAAGAAATGAAGATAGACATGAGAAAAATGAACAAGAATTGGATGGAACTAGAAAAGAAGGCCTAGGACAGAGTGAGTTGGAGAATGCTGGTTGACGGCCTATGCTCCATTGGAGTAACAGGCGTAAGTAAATACAAAAAAGAATAATTGGTTTGTGACGAACGAGAACACTGTTATATCTTGTAGCCTTCTAGCTCCTATGATGCCACCTATTAGAGAACAGTGATTTATCAACCGGACTAATGATGCATAAAACAAGTACGAGCAAGCTAGACACCTTATCGGTACTGCTTTCTGACTAGCTTTGGCTGTTAAGTCCAGAAAACCAATCTCAACCTCCGCGATATGAACCATGGATTTCAAACATACTGAGTTTATATACCAATCAAACTGACCACAACGTACCAATAAAATATGAAACAACATTTGTACAAGATTTAGCCGAATGTGGCTGTGAATGTGTGAGGCAGTGACTAATAGACAGGGAATAACTCAAGAATGGTAAATCGTATAATAATAATCTAAGGGTCAAAATAAAGCTTATAATAAGAGGAATATGAATATGCATAGTTTAGTTACTTAATAATTATACAATAAAACTATATGTATAACATTGGTCTGGAAGTAGATCTCAAAACTTACCATTCATAATTCTCGTCGGGATAGAACAAAAATACCAGTAGGGACAACAGGGAATTACAAGGGTATTTCATAAAATATGAAAACCATGCATTGAATACTTCATTTGCAAAATGTCCATCGATTATCTCAGACTTCATTATTCCTTCATTTCCATAAAAATCACACATTCTTCTCAATTCTCTTTGATTCGATAATGCCAACCTTCTGTTCCTAGGCATCCCAGTTTTGACTGGTGTTATATACTACTTATATCAACATAAGTAGTACATACAACCGGTTATTTGAAATTTTCTTCACATCATTAATGTTATGAAATTGTGTATTCATGCTTTCTCTTCTCTCTGATTTTCTACACCTTCTACCGCAAGACATTTCACTTTCGACTGACAATACACACTACATATATCTGTTGACAACAGTAGCACACAACATAATACTTGGTTTATATACAAGCAA